ATCTAGTCTTTGGTAAAATCCTTTTGTTTATAAGGCAACCGCCTAAATGATATGGCATAATGCCAACCTTGCATAGCGTTGCGGAGTCGGAGCGACCGCCCATACTTGATTCATTTTATACCATTCAAATATGTAAACAGTAGATTATTTAAAATATGAAAAAGAAAAATTTGTCATGGAATTATTCACTCCCGGTTTGCTCGTAAAATTGAAGACGGTTTGCCGATTCATGGCTGGGATACGAAACAGCGCAGACGTTGGCGCCGTACTGCCAACGCGTTCGCTACTCACGAGGTAGCACTGTCAGGGCACAGCTAACAGTGATATTAAATGATATGATATCCGATTGGCCCTGTACCCTGCTGGTATACGTGCATCAAGGCGTCTAATTCCAACAGCTGAGCGTGTCTGTTGCTACAGTGAACACACAGATGCCGGAAGACCGAAGAGTAGTACGGCAATCAGGCACCAACCTTACTGTTCATACACAAACGTAAATCGACTACGTGTTCAAGTTGAGAACGAATTGACACCGTGTCGCCCACAGAGCTACAAAGGATAACAACGACAGGAAGATGGCTATGCATATGCCCACAACGAATGATCACGCAAATACTTTGGCGAGTTCACAGCTTACCACAACGCGACAACGGCTAGCCGGAGGATCGATGAGACACCGGCCTGGATGCGATGCGTAAAATCCGATAAGTAAGCGCGGATGCGGTCGAACTTCGGCTTAAGGCCACCACGCCGAAGGCTTTTTACGGATGCCGGCACAAGGCTGAACGGCAGCTGTTCGAAGCTCATCGACGGCGAGCAAGCATCGAGGCAAGAAGTGAAATCAGGACGAACGGCGCTAGTCTCCTCACAGCTACGGCCGGCGCCCATCGTCGTAGGAGGTCGTAAATCAGCTGTCATGGCTCGTATCACTTAGAACAATACACCGTGAGGGGTGCACGGCTGTTGTTCGAACGGTGGACGATGACAGATCTGCCTCTGGCTCGATCATCCTCGGTACTCCTCTTGACCGACTACGACCGCAAAGACTCGTTCCACTAGCACTACGAATCGACTCGGTGGGTAAACACCGCGTCGCCACGCAGCGGCAGAAAAAATTGGCTTCCAAGCACATCCTGCCCGCTGACGTGCACTCATCGCCCGGCCGTCTCGTCTGAGGACGTACGAGGAGGGACGAGCCCGGCTGAACGACGGACGCAACATCTGCATCAGGCGACTACTGTCGGTAAAGCAGTGCGATTCGGCTTCGCTTGAAGGAGAGAAAGAAAAACCTAGTCACGGAGGAGTCATTCCCCTGTTGACACACTCCAATGTATGTCTTGTATTTTGATGGTTAGAGGGTAGCGCATGAAGCGCATTCGCTCTTTAAACGTCGTTTACGATGAACACCAAATTGCTGTGACAAAACAATAATTGATGCGAATCGCATTTGGCGTTACAAGGGTTCATTTATGGAGTCTTGGCATGCTTAAATGACTCCCCTTCAATTTTGAGCAAGGAGGCGCAATAAACCGTTAAATATGTTTCACTTCGAATGAAAGGAAAATGATGGATTGACAGACAACAGAAAAACGAAAGTCGTAGCCGCTGGAATGCCGATATCCACCATCCTTCGGTCAAGCATGATATGTCTGACATCATCCTTTCATGGCATTTATTTCATAACATTGATTCTTACGATGTCCTCACTCAAGAATGCCTAGTTCGTTTTTGACATAATATCTGCAGCTGGGAATCGACTATGATGCGCAGACGCGTAGTCCATTATTTTCATTTTCATGTAGTGGTCCTCACTGGTTAACTTCTGCATCATTAAGATAATAGATGCAAATCTTCAGCCACGAATCAGGCATTATACTGTCTGTGGTTTCCGAGTGACGCAGCGGGGAACGTAAGAAATATCGCCGCGAAGCAATCACCCTCAGAAAACCATGATCTTGTTCATGCTATCGACAGTTTATTCTTTCAGTTGAAAACTCATATAGCACTACTAGACGTGCACAGTCCAAAGTAATATTTCACGGTCGACTGCACAATCAATTGTACTAACGTACAACGGGGGACGGTTTAAACAGGCGAGGGCTCATTGGTATTTTGGGCAGCTGCAGTACCAGATTTGCATGTCGCAGCATTTTGTTCCAAGGAGCAACCTCGCGCTCTTGTCTAGTGTTTACGCGTAGCATATCAGGAGTACCAAGCCCTAAGATATTGTGCGGAATGGCTTTAGCGAGTGAAAACTGTGCGACAGGTTTTACCGCAGTTGTAGACCCCAAGCCCGGTTGAGGAAAGACGATGGTTGGAGACCGTAGCGAAGTCTCCATAAAACTTAGCTACCTGCCACTCATGGCATTTACGCCATCGAAAATTATACCGGCTCGGTCGACCCTAGGATACCAAAGACTATGCAGACTGTTGAGGGACTGAGGCAGGCCCCGAAAAGAAGACACCTCGAAAACGACAAGATCACAACCTGCTCATCGCCCTGTGCCAGCCGGGGAGGGGGGGGGCAGCAGTACAACAACGGCTGACGAAGATCGGCGCAACGACCGCGCTACACTTGTGACGTACGTAACCACGTAGCAGCGGTGGTGAGCCACGATCTTCGACATGAAGCCAGAGTACTGTCGTATTACGTGGGCGTTCAAGAACAGTGTTACACTGGTTTAAGCGGAACGGAAACGGTTTCCAGTATTCGCAAGGCCCTTGCTCACGTACAGATCGTGTATCGACGGAGTATCGAAAGAAAGGAGGGAAAAACGTGCAAAAGCAATCGAGATAGAGAAGTGGCATTTCAAGATTGCATGCGCTTGGAACGAGTAAGAAGAAACAGCATGAAACGCAGGAAAATTGCACCAATTTGAAACAAGTTAACGGACAATTCACCAAGCTGTTAGAAACGCTACAGATCTCTAAGCAACAGCTTACACCTTTACCGATTTCTAAATTTAAAACGGCATTCAGCGACTTAACACGTTTCCAAGTTTTGCTAATTTGGTGACAATCGTGAGACTCGTGGGATTCATAAAACCTTTCCTGACTTCCAAAAATACATCGTATTACAGGATGTTTCCGTTTTCCGGCCGAAATGGCTTCTTTCCGGCCTAAAAATCTTTCTATATCTTGCCATTTAGTAAAAATTGTCGTTTAGTAAACACAGTTTCCTAAATAGTAGGGTTTTTAGAAAGATGTTAAGATAATCTTGGCACTGTTGAATTAAAGTTTGCAAATATTAGCTTTTTAAATAGATTTTCTTTTTAATTAAAACTAATTTTAATTTAGTTAGGACTCAGGGAATGCACAACAACTATTGGATCAAGAGTAAGATCCTCGGTGACCGCCTCCGTGTCAAATGGCGAGCAACCGGTGATTAGGATCGAACATGGAGTAGAGTAGTTGCCCTTCAGTATTTTGGATGACCTGCTCTGTTTTTGCTGTCAGGGTGATGACTGCTGTTAGTGAGTTTTTAATGTTTTTTATATTAGGGCGAGACTGCAAGAATATTTCGATTACGAATTTCTCGGATGTGGAAACACTGGTAAATGAAATTGATAAGGCTTGCAACAGGCCGCCTACTAAATATGAAAATGCAACGCAAAACACAATAAAATAAATCGTAAACAAAACGAGAAACTGTAGACGACAGATCTGATTCACTCACAAGTTCAGTAAGACTATTCAAGTCAAGTCTGTGATAGCCTCCCAGCTTTCGATAATTACGATAGAATGACAGTATTCACTGCTCATTCTCTGTTGCCGCGACAATATGAAGGGACTGCTCTAACAAATCACTGATTCTTGAGTAACCTCTTTCGACTGCAAAATTACCAGTCCTACCGAATGCGCATCCCTCTCGGGTAGCCTGCTATACAGCATCAGAATCGAATGTTCTTTGATGCGATAGGTCTTTCCGATTCAGATATCATCGCTACCTTCTAGACGACGTTCAATGACTCTTTAGGATTTTCGGGAAGTTGTACCTTGAACGTTGTTCTACTCTTGTAGCAAACAGAAAACTTCAGGCTCTAGAGGTACCTTAAATGGGCACAGATCTGTCAGATACATATGGCGAAGTAATACTCGGTCTACTTTCGCGCAGCATCTACAGTTGGGGCTGGGGTGCCTTAATTCTAGCCCAGCATGGGCCCATCGTAGGATAGAAATTATTAATTATTACTTAAGCTGATGATTCACTGATTCATTCATAATATTAGAAAATTTCTTTACAGGATGACATCCCATATCGAGTTCATATATGCATACGTTTCGGATAACGCTCCATCCATCTTTGGGAAGAGACATATGAAACAAAGAGCAATATAGCATTAAAAGCATTATATACATATCATACTGTAACTTTGTTAGCTTCAATTACGTCTCTCTCTGAAGACCAATCGAACATGATCCGAAACGCTGCATGTATATATTCAACTTGCTTGCATTATGGGTAGACCATGAACGCAAGTCAACACTCTTATAATCTCTGTTCTTTGTTTTTTGCCACCTTCGCTGGCTAAGAAGTTGGGCCATCGGACTAATTCAATGTATTCTTGGACGACCAAGTATACATTCGTGGTGCAGTGGAATCCAGTTTGTAATTCTTGAAGCTCGCTGATCGTCTCTCAGGTAAGTCACATGGCAGACCCATTTCTTTGCAATGTTGCAGACGGCAGAAATCGCCTTGTTAATCCAGCCCGTGGCCAACTTTCCCGCTTCCCGATTCCGGACGATTTTCTCTTTCTTGAGATCATCACCTTGATCCATTTGCGCATGCAGAACGCGTCTGTTATTTGTGATATTCGCTATATTCACTGCTTCGCAGTCACCAATCATTCCATCGTGGAAGGAAATAATCCGCTCCCATGGCAGATTTGCCTCTACCCTGTTCCGCAGTGTTGTACCCTGGCCTCATCATTAATGTCTGACGTGTTTCGGCTCTCACACCAGCAGGTCATGCGTTAGAGTTAATGTTTATGCTCAACCAGTATCTCGACCTCACTGAATGATAAGATCATTTTTCTTGACGTGGTCCTACCTACTATTTAATCTTCATTGTCCGTCAAAGTAAACGCTCGCGCACGCAGTTCAACCGTCGTCCTTACTCTTTCATTGGAATAACAGTACTGGCCTGACAGAGACAGATAGGGTGCAGGAAAATTTTGATTGAGAAACATACTCTTCTGCCCAAAGATTGGATGGCTCCATGAAAGCATTACAGATTAAAGCGATCTTCCTATTTAACGGTGCCATTGCTGAAAATGATATAACCGTTTCGAGCCGATTTCGTAGGACCTTACCAATTCTTTGCTACACAGCTCTTCGCGTAATCATCAACTTGCTCTCTTCAGCGTTAAGAGTAAATCCATATCAGAGTCGCAAATGAAAGCCATAAGGATAGTTAAGTCGAACAGTCATTCACATGGGCAACTCACCGTCGAATAGACATATTTTAATTCGTTTACAGCAGCATATGCTGCCTCCTTTCTTTGGCTCATTTCCCTGTATAACTAGTAGTTTATATATCTGATGTCTTCTCGTAAAGGACTTATCTAATTCTGAACTGAATTCTTTCATAAAAGACTCAACTTTTGCTTTCAAAGTCATTCATAATCTGATAAAAGTGATCAGAATCACAGCAGGACAAAGATCACAATAGTAATATAATAACATTATAATATAATAATATTATTGAAAATTGTACATGATTTCTTCATGCGGGAGATGAAATAATCCTTTGGTAAGTCACAAACGGGAAGACCATGCATAAAATATTCTTTAATTAGAGGTGGTGCTCCTGTGGTGCGGTTTACATAGGCGAAACGGGCAACATGATTGAAGAAAGGAAGACAGACTACAAG